ATTCCACCTCAATCAGGGAAATGAAAATTCAGTCCAGAGTAAAACATAATTGTGTTATCTGTTTTATTGGCAAAAGTTAACAAGTGTGACAAAACCAAGTGTGGTGAGGATGTGCAGCAATAGGAATTCTTGTACATTACTGGGGGGAATATAAATTGGAGTAGCTACTTTAAAGAGCAATTTCAACCTGGCAGTTACAGAAATTCGTGCACATTTTACCAGGAGACATGTACAAGAAAATTTACTACAATATTGTCTGGAATAGTGAAAAATGGGAAACATGCTAAATATTCCTCTAGAGAATAAAGACCTACAGTTATTTTCATATGACAAAATACTTTCTCCAATGAAAATGTATGAACCAGAGCCACTTGGATAAATCTCAAAAATGCTGCTTTGAGTAAAAAGTGGCAAGTGATTCATACAGTACTATTTATATAAAGATTGAAAACATGTAAAGCAATGCTCTGTAACTTATGGATACATATATGTGTAAGAAGCAAAAGTATTAAAGCATTCATTGAAATGACAAACACCAAACTCAGGGTAGTAGTCTCTAAAAAGAGAGAGAAGGTGTTGGCATTGGAGAGGGCCATAAAGGGAGCACCCACTATCTCTGTTGTGTTTTATTTCTTAAACATAAAAAACCTAAAGGAAAATATCAAGGCATTTCACTCAAAACTCCTTATTATTGTTATTAAGATTACCTGACTATATGCTTTTTTCTAAAAAAAAAAAAAAAAAGTTCATCTTAGAGAACTGGACAGACAAAAAATATAAGATTAAAAGTAGCATTTTGGTTGGATTTGTTTCCCAGACTCCTTTCAAATGCTGTTCACCACATCAGAGAACTTTTTTATCCTTTTTTACCCTTTTAGATTTCATAGTCCTTTTCATGCATATAGGGGAAATCCAAATGTTATAATCATTTGCATCTCAGACTAAAGAAACTCTTGTTAATGACAGGAAGATTAAGGTGAGGATTATGGCTACCTATTAAAACAAGTATCTCATTCAGTGTTTCAGAGACATTAGTAAATGTTTTTTCATTTCAGTGGCATAACAGACCTGATCACATCAGGGTTAATGTCCTCTTAGTGACTAAATCAGGACTTTTCTATACCTTCAGTTCTCTTACTTGTGCTCACTACCACCAGTTTTCTTGACTGTCTACTCCTCTGGGGCACCTGGGTGCCCAGTTGATTAAGCATCTGCCTTCAGCTCATGTCATAATCCCTGAGCTCCCTGCCCTTCCTCCCCACCGCCTCTGACCCCCTCCTTCCATTGGGCTCCCTCACTCTCTCTCAAATAAATAAATAAGATCTGTTTTTTTTAAAGAATATATACTCTTGATTTTTTTATCTCCTTCACTCTTTTACTGTTTCCTACTCAGTTAGAAATTATAAAAGCAGATCCCTCAGGATCAGGTTCTGTGTGCCCCTAAGAAATGGTGCTAAATGATTAATTTCCAAATCCTCCTAATTCTTGCATTTAGGAATCAACCAGAAAACTTAAGAAGTCTGAATTTCAAGCGGTATTGAGGAAACATTTAGACATTTTGTTTGTTTGTTTTTGTATCGAGAGGGCTTTACAGGAAGTAAAATTGTCTGGGATATGGGTCCCCAGAGTCCTACAACCTTCAGAGAGTTATCAAAGTAGCTTGCTGTCTCAGACTGGTATCTTCCTCTTTTCCACTGACTCTAGAAATATTTTCCTGATTTTAGCTCTTGGAGTTCTCTGTCTCCTCTGCTCATTCTCAGAATTGAGTTTGCATACCCAGGGCATCTTATAAATGCTTGTTCACGAGACCAGGAAGTTGACTGCGTGGTCCAAACAGATTATAGTGTTTCTAGTCCCAGCATTCATAGATAATAACTCTTTTGTGTCCCTGTCCTTTGGAACAGAAGCTGACATCTCCCCAGGGTTCCAGCTGAATTCCTTCTGGGCATGCCCTTACTGGTCCAATGTCATCATTATCTGTAGGCAGAATATAGGCATCTTTCTCAATGCAAAAAAAAAAAAAAATCAGAAAACTACTATTTCTAACATTCCAACTATTTTTACTCTTATTTGTCCCTAACCTTGGTTCTCTCCATAATCACCAGTTGAAGTGCATATAGAGAGTCAGATCTTTCTATCTGTATGCCCTCCATCATGAGCCATTCTTGGTTCTACTTGATCGGCTACGTCCTGTTGCGTCCCCCACACTGGAAGGCTGTTCATAATAAAACTAGCAAACATTTACCAAGCATTTGCTTTGTGCACTGTTCTGAGTACTTTACAACTACGATCTTTATCATTTCACATGCACAATAATCTCAATTCCTGTTAGCCCTATTTTGCAGATGAGGAAATCAAGGCACAGGAAGATACTTTACTTCATCTGTAAAACCTTTCCTTTTACTTCTGTAAGGAACAAAGATGAAATCTATATCAAAGAGCTTTGTACTAAGTAAAGTTTAGTGTAAACATTTTGCTATACTGCCTGCTTCATAACAGGACTCAATGAGGGTTTTGTGAGTGGACATATAAATAAATATTATTACTGAGTGCATCTTGCTTTGTATAGGTTGAATCCCCAGAACAATGTAAGTGCTGTGTCTGTAAGCCAGTAGTCACCCACACCAACATATTCTTTTTTTTCCTTCCCTTTTCAGAATCAAAATGATTGTCTGATTGAATATCTTTAAAAGGTCATGATGAATTATTCCATAATATTTGAAATGTTATGCTCAAAAAAGGTCAAGTCTTATTTTTTGGTAAGAAGTACCATATAGATTTGTTTTTCCTGGGTACCATTTCTTCAAAGAAAAGATGGCAAGAGATTTAGAGCAGGGTGCCCTCTTGAGGAAATTTTAGCACCTTACCTCTCAAAAGCTGGCATTGGATGACATGAGAAACCCAGATGAATGATGCCCAAATAAATAAAACATTAAAAAGTAGGAGTGACCAACTACCAGAGATCTGAGTATTAGGATTCCTAACTGTTATGATCTAATATAGCAACATTAAGAATGTTCAAACAAAAAGAAAAACCTCTGGAAGATATTTTATGTCCACTCCTTGACTCAGGGCTCAAGCAAACATGTCTGTTGTGCCAGGAGCTATGCTGAGTACAACGCTCGATAAAATATAGTCTCTGCCTCCATGATGCTTACAGCCTGTGACGGAGATCACAGTGAAGGGAAATAAGCAATTACATATGTAACTGTAAGCTGAGCAAATTGCTGTGAAGGAAATGGGAAAGGTACTAGAATAAAGCCTAACAAAGTAATTTCCATTAGTGTGGTCAAGGAAAGCCTTCCTGAGAGGAAACAATTGAGCTGAGTCACTTGGCTTTTTTGGTCCAAGCCTGCCTTTTTAGACTATCAATGCATTATAATGCTAAAAAAAAAAAAATCCCCTTTCCAACAACATTAAGGACGTAGAGGATCTCAGAAGATGAAAAGGACTACCACTCTGCTTTGAATAGGGAGGAATATGCAGGCATGAAACAGGCAGAGAACTGGTTCATGCCATACTGTTTGATCATGTTGAATGTCAGATATTCATGGTACCAGGCAAGCTGAAGGCCCCAACCAAAATTGGAGATATGGGACCAGATCTCAGGAAGGAGCTCCGAAGAACTAGTTTTTGAGGGTTCTGTTTTGGTTCAAAGCTCCCATATTACATACACATCCAGTTGACCTGGATCCCCACCAGTGCTGTAGCCTCTGGAGCTAAACTGCTTTCTCTGGATGGGTTGACAGTACCAGATTGGAGAGTTTAACTGATGTGGAGATTACTGCCTGCAAGTGGTCAGCCTGCAGTGATTCCTGGGCTGGCATTTAGGTGACCAGATGAGTCTAGGACCCAGACTCTGAACAAAGATGCATCTATCTCAGTTGTAACTGTACAGAGCTCTCTCCAAGAAAACTAACCACCTATTTTATTAATCAGATGACTGTGAACAAAACATTCAACCTGGGTGAATTTCACTCCCCTCACCTGGGGTTTAGGTTTTTAAATCTCCACTCATTTCACAAGGTTGTTATACTTTGCATGTAAATCACAGATGCCATATTGGTCAAAACGAGCTGAAACTATCTACCCATTGCCACTAGTAGGTAGCAATTTGGAAAATACGCCAAAACCCATCAACTGTACAAACTCCTTTGACCCAGTGGATTGATTCCTGATCATTTATTTGTATGAAAAAAAAAAGAAAAAAGAAAAGAAAAGAAATACTATGTGGAAATAAAAATACATTGCAGCATTTCTTATAAAAGAAAATATTGAAGGGGCATCTGGGTGGCTCAGTGGTTGAGCTTCTGCCTTTGGCTCAGATCATGATCCCGGGGTCCTGGGATCGAGTCCTGCATTCAGACTCCCCATGGGGATTCTGCTTCTCCCTTTGCCTATGTCTCTGCCCTCTCTCTGTGTGTCTCTCATGAATAAATAAGTAAAATCTTAAAAAAAAAAAAAAAAGAAAAAGAAAGAAAAGAAAAAATACTGGAAAGGATCATAGGGACAGCTAAATAAAAGATAGTGCTTTAAACACAATGAAACATCAACCAGGGGTCCCTGGGTGACTTAGCGGTTTGGTGCCTGCCTTCGGCCTAGAGCGTGATCCTGAAGTCCTGGGATCGAATCCCATGTCGGGCTCCCTGCATGGAGCCTGCTTCTCCCTCTGCCTGTGTCTCTGCCTCTCTCTCTCTCTCGGTCTTTCATGAATAAATAAATAAAATATTTAAAATAAAAAAAAAATTAAAAAAAGAAGCATCAATCAGCCACTGTATAAACCGTATGCACCAGGAAGTGGTTGGTCCCGGGAACATGAAAAAGTAAAACAATTGATGGAGTAATGGACTTATACGTGTTTTTCGTTGGATGAATTTATCTAAATGTTTTTACTCTTGTAGAATAATTAAACTGCTTAAAAAGTTTTAAAATTTCAAACATGTTTGGCCCCAAGCTAAATGTCCTTTTATCATTTTTTTTTATTTTTATTTTTTTTTTAGGGAAATTATCGTTTCATGAAACTCCTACTTACACGCCGGGCAAACTGGATGCAAAAGGATCTGGAAGAGATGACCCCTTTGCACTTGGCCACTCGGCACAAGAGCCCCAAGTGTTTGGCACTTCTGCTAAAGTTTATGGCACCAGGAGAAGTGGATACACAGGATAAAAACAAGGTAAGGCACTTGTCAGAATTGGGGGCAAATAAGAGCAAAGAACAAATGCTTCCTTATGACGTGAAATCTCAAGGAAGAATTATCACTCCATACACTTGATGGAACATTTCCTAGTCCCCGTACTTCCCAGTGAAACATTTCACTTAAATTCTGTCATTTTCTCCTTCTACCAACCATGTATGGTAGATAGTATCACCTCCTTTTCACTGATGGGGAAACTGAAGTGTGAGATTAAAATTCTGTCCAAGATCCAAGTGGCAGGACCAGAATTCAACCCAGACCTACCCCCAGACCCTATTATTTCATAGCTAGTAGCTATAATTACCATTGGTGGTTAGACGTGGTGGCCAAATGCCTGGGGCAATGTAGGCAGTGCATAGTAGTTTAATGGCCTGGGCTTTAGCATCAGAGTCCTTGGGTTTCCATCTAGAAGCCACTACTTACTTGTTCTGCACCTTTGGGCAAATTTTCTTAACTCCACTATATGCTTCAATTTTCTCCTGTGTGAAAAGGGAATGATAGGGTTGTTGAAAATAAAATGAGATAAGATATATAAATAGGGTTTAACACAATGCCTAGTGTATAGGATGCTCTCGATACATGTTAGTTATAAAATAAATACCATTCATTTCATTTTGGCTCTCACAGCTGCTCTGCCATTTGTTGCTGGGATCCCTCATCTTCCCAGACCTTGAATTTTAGCATATTGTACAAGCCGGTCACTGTTTTGATCAATGCTTTAATCATTGTTTACAGGAAAAAATTGTGGTGTTCGATTAGATGAGTGCAAAAATCCTCTTCCTTTCCACCAGGCACCGAATCACAGAGTCTTGCTAACTCCAATACTCCTGTGTAATTAAGACACTTAGGATTAAACCCTCTGGGTTCATGATCCCTTCATTCTCACAGTTTCTTTGTGTAGTTTTTAGATTTTGTTTAGCTGTTACTCACATAACCCAGGGTTCTGAAATTAACTTTGACTTTATTTTACAACGACCATAAACTAATATTATTCCTTACTCACAGCGTTTGTAGTGCTAATATATCACTAAAAAAGCACTTTGATCAAACCACAAAGACCATTAATCGCTTACAAAGTCACAGATGTCTTTAGGCTCTATAATATCTTCCCCAGTATCTTCTAGGGACTCCCTGCTATCTTCCAGTCCTATGTATTCTTCTGTTACTGAACAAGGATAGGAGGTTATCCAGTCAGACAGACAGAAAAACATCTGCAAGGTCCAGGCAGGCACCAAGAAGAGAGCAAGACAAAAGCTTAGAGCCATGATTCTCAAACAATCTGATGGGAAGGATCCATTTTTGTGTTTTCTTCAAATTTCCAATCCATCACAGACCAATAATGTTATACCATATATTAAAACTGACCCCCCCAAAAAAAAACCCCATAAGACAACACCTTATACCCTTTAGGATGGCTATTATTACAAAAGCAGAAAATAACAGACTTTGGTGGAAATGTGGAGAAATTTGAACCCTGTGCTGTGCTGGTAGGAATGTAAAATGACAGAGCCACTGTGGAAAACAGCATGACAATTTTTCAAAAAAACTAAACATGGAACTACTCTATGATCAGAAATTCTACTTCTGGGCATATTCCCAGAAGAATTGATATTCAGGAATGTGAACAGATATTATACATCCATGTTCATAGCAGCATTATTCACAATAGCAAAAAGATGAGCATGACCCAAATGTCCATTGCTGGATGGTTAGAGAAACAAAATGCAGTACATGCAATGGAATATTATTCAGCCTTAAAAAGGAATTAAAGTCAGACACATGGTACAACATGAATGAACTTTGAAGATACTATGCTAAGTGAAAGGCTGGGAGGAGATGGATATTAGGAGTCACTGTGGAATGGGCATGGAGTTTCAGTTTGAGATGAAAAAGTTCTGGGGATGGAAGATGCTGATGGTTGCCCAACAGTGGGAATGTGCTTCCTGTCACTGAACCGTACATTTAAAAACAATTGTTGGGCAGCCCAGGTGGCTTAGCCGTTTAGCGCTGCCTTTGGCCCAGGGTGTAATCCTGGAGACCTGGGATCAAGTCCCACGTCGGGCTCCTTGCATGGAGCCTGCTTCTCCCTCTGCCTGTGTCTCTGCCTCTCTCTCTCTGTATCTCATGGATAAATAAATAAAATCTTCTAAAAAATTACTAGAAAAACATTTTTTAAAGATGTAGAAAATATAATTCCAAATTTGTGCTATTAGATTCAACAGACCTAATATTACATTTCAGTAAGTATATTCAGAACAAACATAACATGGCAAAGGAATTACAGAAACGGTACGTGTTGTTTATTTGAAAATGTGAAAAATAAATAAATAAATAAATAAATAAATAAATAAATAAATAAATAGAATTTTTAAAAAATTAAGAAAAGAAAATGTGGCTCCAGGGGCCTGAATGGCTCAGTAGTAGAGCATGTGGCTCTTGATCTCAGGGAAGTGAGTTCAAGCCCCACATTGGGCATGGAACCTACAAGGAAGGAAGGAAGGAAGGAAGGAAGGAAGGGAAGAAAGAGAAGTAAAGAAAAAATGTGGCTATCAGAAATTACTTGCTATTGTATTTGTGACTGTTTTTTTCTATAATCATTACTAAATGAAAAGTAATGAGTGACTCTTCCTATTAAATGACCATAGGTACACTTTCCATGAATACTATGTATGTCAACGTTTAAAGTTTTCATTGTAGCAAGTGAGTTTGGTTCCTGCCTGTTAAATGATCTGATTCTAGGTTGGATTGATGACACTGCTATTTATAAGGGATAATGTACAGCACAACCATTTCTGTGTTCCCTCAGTAACCTTTCTAATAGGGAAACTACTCTTACTGTGGTTTATTGATGAGAATGGCAAAGGATATTTTAAAGCAATGCAAACAAGTTTGAGATGTCATTTTTTAAAAAAATAAATTTTATTTATGACAACATTTTATTCTATTTATTTTTAAGTTAGCTACACACCCCACATGGGGCTCAAACTCAAGACCTGAGATCAAGAGTGGTGTGCTCTTCCAACTGAGCCAGCCAGGTGTCCCATCAAGATGTTCATTTATAAACTTTTATCTGAAATAAAGCAAGTGTTACTGTATTCCCTACATATGTCTTAACATCAGTGGCAGGTATAAGAATTTATCCTGTAAAATTATAGTTAAATTTAAATTTGTACTTTGATGTAAGAAATGGATTCCAGATCTGTGATTTCCCGTGCATAGATCTTCTTTTTGATAGATATTGAAATTCAAAACATTCTATGAAATTCTTAAGGTGCTTGGTGTAATATCAAGATCATCACTTACTTTGTTGATAGTTATTCATAAACTACTGTAGTGCTTTTCTTTTTCTCAGTATTACTAATCTCATTGATTAGTCCCTGATGACCTCAGTGCCTATCATGATTAAGAAGTCAGATTCTACACTCAGACTGACTGGGTTAAAAATCTTAATTGGAGGGACACCTGGGTGGCTCAGTGGTTGAGCATCTGCCTTTGGCTCAAGTCGTGATCCCAGGATCGAGTCCCACATTGGACTCTCTGCATACAGCCTGCTTCTCCCTCTGCCTATGTCTGCCTCTCTCTGTGTGTCTCTCATGAATAAATAAATAAAATCTTTTTTTGAAAAAAAAAAATCTTAGTTGGACCACTTACTACCTTTATGTCCCTAAGGAGATTACTCATCCTCCTTGTGCTCCATTTTCTCATCAGTCACATGCAAATTCAAGAGTCCTCATCTCCCAGAGTTGTCATAATGACTATCTGAGGTAAAATGTATAAAGCTCATACAATACTGCCTGTCACACAATAAAAGCTTGGGAAAAGTTTATGTTGTTACTATTATTCTTGTTACTGTTGTTTTTTTTGAGACTCTATATTTTGCAGCAAACAGCTCTGCATTGGAGTGCCTACTACAATAACCCTGAGCACGTGAAGCTGCTTATCAAGCATGATTCCAACATTGGGATTCCTGACGTTGAAGGCAAGATCCCACTTCACTGGGCAGCCAATCACAAGGATCCAAGTGCTGTTCATACAGTGCGATGCATTCTGGTGAGTACGGTGGTGCTGCTAGACCTTTCTAAAAAACAACTTTTTATTTTGAAATAGCCAATATACAAAAGCCTATGTATGACACACAAACAAATTATGAAGCAAAAGAAATACAAAATCACGTGAACCCATCCCTCAAGAAATAGAACATTTTAGTGCTGCTATTTAAGACCACACAGAGGGATCCCTGGGTGGCGCTGCGGTTTGGCGCTTGCCTTTGGCCCAGGGCGCGATCCTGGAGACCCGGAATCGAATCCCACGTCAGGCTCCCGGTGCATGGAGCCTGCTTCTCCCTCTGCCTGTGTCTCTGCCTCTCTCTCTCTCTCTCTCTCTCTGTGACTATCATAAAAAATTTAAATTAAAAAAAAAAATAAGACCACACAGAATTCCCTTGTGCCAGTTTTTCTTCTTTCTTTCTTCTTTCTTTCTTTCTTTCTTTCTTTCTTTCTTCTCTTTTCTTTCTTTCTTTCTTTTGATTTCTTTATTTATTTATTTATTTATTTATTTATTTATTTATTTAAAAGAGAGAGCAAGGGTAGGGGTGGTGGGCAGAGGGTAAGGGAGAGAGCATCCCAAGCAGACTCCATGCTGAGCGCAGAGCCCGACCAGGGCTCGATCTCACCACCGTAAGATAACGATAACAACCTGAGCCAAAACCAAGAGTCAGACACTCAACCAACTGTGCTACCCTGGCACCCCTCTTATGTGCCAATTTCCCAATACATTCTCTCCTGCGTGCCACGTTTGTCCAGTCCCCCATCAGGTACTTTACTCAATTTGTGTTTATCATCCCTGACGTTGTTTTATACTTATGCTCATTAAATACTGCATAGAGGTAACATTTGTAAAATACTTATAAGATATAAAGAATAGGGAAACCACAAATACTCATGTACTCATCTCCGAGTTTTCCTTTTTTGGGGGGTGCAGAGAGAGAGAGCATGCAAGCAGTGGGTGGGGAAGGGGCAGAGGGGAGGAGAGAGAGAATGAATCTTAAGCAGGCTCAACACCGAACACGGAGCCCAATACAGGGCTCAATCTCAAAACCCCAAGATCATGACCTAAGCCAAAATCAAAAGTCCCACGCTTAACTGACTGAGCCACCTAGGTGCCCCTCATCTCTGATCTAAGAATAAGTAGATTACCGTTACCATTGAAGCTCCCTGGGTACCGCCCAGCACTGTTCTATTCTCCTTTTTCTGAGAAGCAGCCACCATCCTCAATTTCGTGTTAATCATTCCTGATTTTCATTATAGTTTTACCGCATACATTTGTATCGCTAAACAATATATTGTTTCATTTTTAATGCTTTTGAGTTTTCCATACATGGAATCACATTGAATGTATTCTTTTGCAACATGCTTTCCTTGTTCAATATTATGCTGGTGATTTTATCTATGCTGTGTATAACTGTAATATATTATTTTTTAATGTTACATAATATTCCATTTTATGAACAAGCCACACATTATTCAATTATTCATAGATATTTGGAACTATTTCTAGTTTTTCACTATTTAAAAACAGTGTTGCTGGGGCACCTGGGTGGCTCAGTGGTTGAGAGTCTGCCTTTGGCTCAGGTTGTGATCCCAGAGTCCTGGGATCGAGTCCTGCATTGGGCTCCCTGTAGGGAGCCTACTTCTCCCTCTGCCTGTGTCTCTGCCTCTCTCTGTGTCTCTCATGAATAAATAAATAAAATATTTTTTAAAAAAAATAGTGTTACTTTGGAGTGCCTGGGTGGCTCAGTGGGTTAAGTGTCTTGAGACTCTTGATTTCAGCTCAGGTCATAACCTCAGGGTGGTGAGATGGAGTCTCTGGTTGGGTTCTGGGCTCAGCAGGGAACCTGCTTAAAGATTCCCTCTCTCCTCTGCCCCTCACTCTCATGCACTCTGTCTCTTTCTCTCTCTCTTTCTCTCTCCCAAATAAATAAATAAATCTTTAAAAAAAAAATAATGCTGCTTGGCACTTTTTTTTTAAGTAATCCAGCATAGGGATTGAACTCATGAGCCTAAGAGTCACATGCTCTACTAACTGAGCCAGCCAGATGACCCTGAACTTTTTTTTTTAGCATGACTAAGATACATATTTAACTAGTTGATGCAGATGCATAGAAATGCAGTTGGTATTTTTATTCATTGAATATGTATCTAACTTACTATACTTTCTTATTAATTTTGAATATTTATCAGTGGATTCGTTGGCATTTCTACCCATTCCTTCTCATATTCCAGCTTACAAACTGTAGCACTCTAATATTTAGTCCTATTTGCTCATAACATACAAATTAGACTTTAAAAGATAAAATTATTTTGAATATGCAGTGCTCATTTCTCAACTCTTTCAGGCTATTATTTTGCCTTGGGCCTTTCATTGTTCTTCGGAAGGAGTCTGTTATTGGTCTAATTGTTATTACTTTATAGATGATTTATCTTTTCTCTCAGGTTGCTTTTAAATTCTTCTCTGTGTGGTATCCTACAGTTTCACTACAATGTGTCTAGGTATGGTGCTTTTTTTTTGGTCCTGTTTGGTGTGTTCTCTCATTGCACATCAGTTCTGGAAAATATATAGCTATTATCTCTTTAAATATTACCTCTCTTTCATTCTCTACACTCTTGCCTTTAGGGTCCCAATTACACATATTTTAGACCTTTTTATTTTATTAACCGTGTCTCCCCTCATTTGCCCTCTTCATCGAGCCTCTAATCCTAGTAATTATATTTTTACATCTAAAAGTTCTTTTTGGGGATCCCTGGATGGCGCAGCGGTTTGGCGCCTGCCTTTGGCCCAGGGCGCGATCCTGGAGACCCAGGATCGAATCCCACATCGGGCTCCCGGTGCATGGAGCCTGCTTCTCCCTCTGCCTGTGTCTCTGCCTCTCTCTCTCTCTGTGTGACTACCATAAATGAAAAAAAAAAAAGAAAAAAGAAAAGTTATTTTTGTTTTTGTTTGGTTTTTTCACATTTGCCTGGTCTTTTTGATATTTTTTGTTCCTTGCTCACCTTTTATTTCACTTTTTGTTTTATATGTTTTATAGATGGTTATTTTATATGCTTTATGTGTCAATTCCATTATCTGAAGTCCCTAGAGGATTGTCAATCATAATATCTTATTTCCTCACAGACTTAGCTTTTCTTTTTTCCCTTGTAAACACATCTTAGTCCTTGGGAGACTCAAAGGCCTAAAATACCACCATGGTAAAATTCTACTTCTCTTTTTTGAAGTGTTTACAATACCTTCCATGCACTTTTTTAATAAAATAGGATGACTGTACAGGCAGCTCTAAATCTGGGCGGCCCTTTGGAGAGTTCTCAGATTGGGGCAGGAGGACTTGGCTTTGGATATGACCTGATCTGGAAAGGCATATGACCTTGGGTGAGGTAATTCTCTTTAGCTGAAACAATCACAGAAGCCTGACCATTGAGGGTCATCTGCCAGCAGCACTCACAGCAGCTAGGGAAATAAATCCACTATTCTTGAAAGGAGACCTAAACAGTAGATACAAAGATCTCATAGAAAAATGAGTAAGTATGAACCATCAATTTAAACAGAATATCCAATAAACATATGATAAATCCCAATCTCATTCATAAAATAAATACAAATTAAAACATCAGCAAAATGCTTTCCATACCTATAAGGGAAAAAATCCAGTAAGCTTGATAATACCAAGGGATTAAGTTGTGCCAGCATGTAGGGAAATAAAAACTTTTACACATTGTCATGGATGTGTTAATTAGTGTAACCATTTGGAGAAAAGTTTGATAATACCTAGTTAAAAATGTAAATATCCGGAGCACCTGGGTGGCTCAGTGGTTGAGCATCTGCCTTCAGCTCAGGTCGTGATCCTGGGGTCCTGGGATCGAGTTCCGCATCGGGCTCCTACAGGGAGCCTGCTTCTTCTCTCTCTGCCTGTTTCTCTGCCTCTCTCTCTGTGTCCTTTATGAATAAATAAATAAATAAAATCTTTTTTAAAAAAAGTAAATATCCTTCTACACAGCTATTCCCTTCTAGGCATCTGAGCTAGAGAAAAATCTCACACATTGGGCTACAGGGGGACCTTGTAAAGGAAGCATGTTCATTGCAGCATAATTGTTAATAGTAGGAAATATGTAAATAACCTAACTATCCCTCAGTAGGAGAATGGATAATTAAATTGTGGTTTAACAAATGAACTAGATTCAACATAGATACCCAAAAATATAGTGTTGAAAGAACTCAAAAGTATAAATACTGAAAATATACATATTTACATATTGTTTATGGATACACACATACATAACAAAAGTATAAAACATACAGCTTTAGCTGACTCCATAACAGATACAAAAGCACATTAGGCAAGATATTGACACCTATTTAATCTGGATAATCAGTGTTGGTATTGATTATATCTTTTCTTCATATTTTAGAGTTAAACATGACAAATTTTTAAAGATTTAGAACATGTACTTTTTTTTCCTGAATTTTACCACTTTGTGCTAAGAGAGAATATACAAGTTTAGAAAATTGCTCAGCTAATGCATACGTCCAGTGTGATTCATTGAGGATTCCATGTGTCTGAAGTCCTGGTTCCTTAAAAATAGGATGCTGCTCCCACGGAATCTTTACTGAACTGGCAAGACTATGAGGGTCGGACACCTCTTCACTTTGCAGTCGCCGATGGGAATGTGACAGTGGTTGATGTCTTGACCTCATATGAAAGCTGCAATATAACGTCTTATGATAACTTGTTTCGAACCCCGCTTCACTGGGCAGCTTTACTAGGTGAGTTGACTGAATCAAAGAATCAATGGTAGGAGGAAATACATGAATACCAGAAACTTCCCATGGCTTCCCTTTCTCTGTCAGCTCCCACTTCCTGTTTAATTATTTTGATTTTTAATTGATATGTGGCATCTCATACTTAAATCCTTCTGTCGTATGCTTAAATTTTAGTAATATAGGGCACCTGGGTGGCTCAGTGGTTAAGCATCTGCCTTTGGCTCAGGTCGTGATCCTGGGGTCCTGGGATTGAGTCCCACATTGGGCTCCCTGGGAGGAGTCTGCTTCTCCCTCTGCTTGTGTCTCTGCCTCTCTCTGCATCTCTCATGAATAAATAAATAAAATCTTTAAGAGAAAATTTTAGTAATATAAATGTATTCTCTGTTATATATTGGTTTTAATTTCAACATAATGTCTTAACATGTTTTAATTTTTATTTTAAAAGTAATGCACAATCACTGACAAATGTAAATATAAAATAATCTTTTTAAAAAAAATCTTTTCACATTCAATGCCTGTGTATTTTGTGGGGGGTTTAATTTTGCGTTTTTGCCAATACTATGATATATGATTTTTTTCTTTGTGTTTTCCCGATAAGCCTTTTACTTAACCAAGTTTGAGGGGATCACTCTGTTAGGTGAGAGTATAAATAATGTGTATCTGTCTGATTTTGCAGGAGACGCAATCTGAGAGTCTTTAGTCACTAATAGTCACTTGTAAGATAAATAATTTGGTCTTTTTTCTGCTATTCTGCTCTTTGAGTATTACCAGTGTTTGGGTGTTTTTTTCCCCCTTTTTTCTTTTTGGTTTTTTTTCCCCCATCTCCTTTGTTTTCTGCCTTTTGATATATAGGTTAGGTTTGTTGTTATTTGGTTTTGAATTGCCTAATGTTTTAACAAGTTTCTTAGGTTCTACTAGTGGTTACTTTAAATTATCAAAAACTTTTTAAAACCTGAGTCAGAGTTAAAAGCAAAACTGTATCTATCGATTTCCATTCATTTAAAAATGAGGGACTTAGCACAATTTACTTACCACTTTTTTAGTATTTGTTAATATAATCTGAAGTTTTTCCCAATTATTATGATGAATTTACTTTTTAAATCCCACATTGTGCTTTTTTTAAAATACTTTTTGCATTTGCATTCAGTGTTATTGTCAGATTTATTATTTAGCTCTCATTTCAGTGTGCACTTTCATCCTTTTTTCCTTTCCTCTGCATTCTAGGAGGACTTGGCAAATTTGTCTCCTTATCAGTACATTGACTTTTTGTTCCATAAGTTCTGATTTCTTTCTGCTTTTCATAGATTGTATCTGAGGTTGTATTTTGGTTTCCTTCTCTCATCCAAATTTCTTTGTATCTTGGCTTATTTCCTTTTCGCCTCCTTCCATCACCCTTTCATTTCAGATTGTGTCCTTCTTAGGATATTCTGTTTTATTTCATAGAAGCTATCTCTTTGCACAAGTCAAGGATGCCCAACAGTGTCCTGAAATTTTCCTCTGGATCCTTCTCTAGATCATTTTCCAAGGTATGCACTTCATCTTCATGATGGTGTTTCTTTTTCCTGTCCCATAGTATGTTTTCGTATTGCCTTTACTGAATTGTTCTCTTTATCTTTAAAATAAGATGGCATGTGTCTTGATGCTTGCCTGTGATCCTACTTTTTTCCTATCCCCGAGAACTCCATCTTGGATCATACCCGGGAACAGGTAGATGAGCACAACTCCCACTCAGATTCCGTTTTTCTGCCTGGATTTCAGTGTGTCCTTGTTCTGCTGATGTGACATCTCCATTGCCTGGGTCCTTGGTATGCTCAAACAATAAAATTCATGAAATTCAGGTTTCCAAATATGGAAAATATGCTATTCCAAATATGCTATTCCAAATATGCTATTACCAGGTTTATTCATTCTTTAATCCTTTCTACAGCTCCTTGCTTGCAGAAGTGCCCTGTAGATTATCTTCTCTGCCACCACCTCATCATTCCTGTCACTTGGTTCCTTGGACTTGTAATCACTGCCTAGATATGAAAAAAATGGAGGAGGGAGGGTAGAGGAGATTCAGAGGAGGCCTCAGAGGTCACAAGAGGATGTATTATGGATGGTCCTCCTGAAGAGCAGAAGAGAATAGCTGTGTAGTGCTGATTGGCTATACAGTGGAACCCAGGATGAGGGACAGTGATGGCAGTCAGGGTCTGGCTTCCCACCATTATTATAGTGAGGCCAAGGAATGCGATGAGCTGTACCTAATATAACTTTTTCTCAACCTAGCAATTATAATGACTGTCATTTCCTTTCTGATTGAAGCACTAAGATTTTAGTGTTGTGTTTGCCTCTGTTCTACATTTTCATAATATTTTCATGAGAAGTTAGAAGAGGCTGTACTGGGGGCTACTATTCAGAAAACTTCCCTTTAAACAGATTACAAATTAAGTAGTCCTTTGATGTGATAACGGCCTCACTGTGTCTGCTTTCAGGCCATGCACAGATTGTCCATCTCCTTTTAGAAAGAAATAAGTCTGGAACCATCCCATCCGACAGCCAAGGAGCAACACCTTTGCACTATGCAGCTCAGAGTAACTTTGCCGTAAGTAAAACATGACAATTATCTTTTCCCTTAATTAAATTTTTATTTTGTCATCATTAGAAATTCATATGCAGTTGTAAGAAATATAATAGCAAGATCCTATATACCCATAACCCAGTTTACACCAATGGAAACATCTTGCAAAAGTATGAAACAATACCATAAACAGGAAATTGACATTCCTACAATCCACGGATCTTATTCAAATTTCAGTTATACGGGTACTCATTTTTGTGTTTGTGTGGCAATTATATTTTTTTAATTTTTATTTATTTATGATAGTCACACAGAAAGAAAGAGAGAGAGAGAGGCAGAGACACAGGCAGAGGGAGAAGCAGGCTCCATGCACCGGGAGCCCGATGTGGGATTCGATCCCGGGTCTCCAGGATCACGCCCTGGGCCAAAGGCAGGCACCAAACCGCTGCGCCACCCAGGGATCCCCGGCAATTATATTTTAACAGTTGCTCATACTCTTGGCTCTGGCTGAGATGCGAGGGATAGTCTTCGTCTTTGTAAAGTTGTTAGTCATGGGAAATTTTAAGACAATTTTTATATTAACTCTTCGGTGTAACATTTTGTTCTGTGTAAGTATATTTCATCTTCTGGTTAATTTTATGACCCTCACATTTTATATGCACTGTGTTTGGCCATCTGTAATTGTCCTGAAAGCAGTGTGCAAGTTCTTAGAACTAGTCTAGGCTTGGCTGGGATCCTGACTCCACTCTCTGCTGGCTAGATGACCGGCACAAATTTCTTTACTTCTTGAGTCTTAATTCCTTCATATGTAAAATGAGGATAATTATACCTTTTCTTTCAAGATGAGTATAAAAATTAGAGAAAATTTGTGACCAGTGCCTCGTTAGTTTTGGTACCGAGCAGGTACTCAAGAAATGCAGTGCATTCTTACTATTGCTAGTGCTAATAGTATTATGCATTATACAGCTGAGAAAACCAAAATATGAATTACCATTTCCAAAGATATTGAATATTATTACTAATTCTTCCCTTGCCACCCTTTATAGTTTACAAAGCACTTTCTCATCCATTACTTGACTCGGTCCAGCCAGCAACATGATAACAGCTAGGCTGTTTCAGTTTCCTGAATAAGTGGCCACCAACAATTAGAGACTCATCCAAAGAGGCACATGTCAGAGCACTCACAGCTGATTTTACTGCCTTCTGTATGGGTATGTGTAGTGAAAACTTTGGTTTCATTAAATTAAAAGAATGCTATCATCAGCAGAGTGTAATTCCATCTTCCTGACCTCCTCAGTGCATCACTGAATACTCAGATTGCTAAAATATCTTATTTTCCTACCTAGTATTTCTCTCAACTATAACTGTCTTCCTTCCTTCCTGGCATTTCTAAAATTTTATCACCTAGACTTTTGGTAAACTATTCTCTTCTAGTATCTCTCATTATTCTATTGTCTCAGAAAAATACAAAATATATTTTGAGGAGGAACTCTTTTTTGTTCTAGGTAGTTAAGAAATTCACTGGCCCAGACTAATCAACCTATGGAAATCAGAATTCAATTCATATTTCAACACAAGCCTGTGAGGGGACATGGCATCCCTAATTTACAGAGGAAGAAACCAAGGTTTTGAGAGATTAAATGACTTGGCCAAGATCTTGAACCCAAGTGTTAGATTCCAGATTTAACACATGCACAGATACCAGCAATTAAGGACTAAGCTATTGGGAATAAGGAAGAATGACAGAACATGATGGATGTTAATTCAAAGAAATACTTGCTCTGGATGATCTGCCAATTACAGAGATGACTTTTAAATAATTCTGCAAATTTCCTTAAGCTTAGTTTCTTTTTTTTTTTTTTAAGATTTTATTTATTTACTCATGAGAGACACCGAGAGAGGCAAAGACACAGGCAGAGAGAGAAGCAGACTCCTCACAGGGAGTGCGATGCAGGACTTGATCCCAGGACCCTAGGTTCACCCCCTGAGCCAAAGGCAGACGCTCAACCACAGAGCCACCCAGGTGTCCCTCTAAGCTCAGTTTCAAGCCCCTTGATCTTGGACTATGTTCACCCATAGAGGCTCTAATTCCCTGTTTAGAAAACATCAACAGTTGGGCAGCCTGGGTGGCTCAGCGGTTTAGCGACACCTTCAGCCCAGGGCGTGATCCTGGAGACCCGGAATTAAGTCCCATGTCAGGCTCCCTGCATGGAGCCTGCTTCTCCCTCTGCCTCTCTCTCTCTCTCTCTCTCTCTCTCTCTCTCTCTCTCGTCTCTGTGTTTCTCATGAATAAATAAAATCTTTAAAAAAAAAACAGTAACATCAACAAGACCCACAAAACCTCTGCAAACATTCTTTCATTAAGAAAACATACCCAACAAAGATATATTTATGAATTAATGAAAGAAAAAACACCAAAACCATCACCAGCTTTTAAAATCCACTTGCTTATTCCAATCTAGCATGTACGAGGCATACACACTAGATCCCAGGAGCATGACACTGTAATGCCTCAGCAGCTCAACATTAAGTGATAAGACTAGGAAGCAGTGTGTGCAGCAGTTGAGTCCTGGGTTCTACTCCTATATCTGCCACCAAGGTTTACATGACCTTGAACCTAAACTTCTTCATCTGGAAAATGAAGGGTTGCATTAGGTGAGCCCTTGAATTTCTTCTTGCTTTAAAGTATTGAGTGTCAGCACTTAATACATTTTTGGCCAATTCACAGCATCCAGAATTTTTCTTTTTCTGAAACTGTTTTACTTCCATTCAAGCAGAAGGCTCTATGATCTCCCTAAAAGTTTGTAAGTATCTGAAGCTTAAGAAAAGAGGCAACGTAAAATGCTGTGAATATTAACCCCTGTTAAAATTGTTAGGCACTGTTACCAACAATAGCCAGATTGTAGTAAGAGCCCAAGTGTCCATAGACTGTTGAATGGATAAAGAACATGTGGCATATATGTGATGGAATAGAAAAAAGAATGAATTCTTGCCATTTTTAACAATGTGGCTGGAGCTAGAGAGTATTACAATAAGTGAAATCAGTCAGAGAAAGACAAATACCATGATTCACTCCTATGTAGAATTTAAGAAACAAAAGAGATGAACATAGGGAGAGAAAAAGAGAGAAAGGCAAACCATAAAACAGACTCTTGACTGTAGAGAACAAACTGAGGATTACCAGAAGGGAGGTGGAGGGGATGGGCTAGATGGGTGATGGGCATTAAGGAAGGCACTTGTTATAATGAGCACTGGGTGTTGTATATAAATGATGAATCACTAAATTCTACTAAAACTAATATTATACTGTATGTTAACTAACTGGAGTTTAAATAAAAACTTGAAACTAAAAAAATAAAATAAATAAAATTGTTAGGCACTGTTAGAATTATTGTGGTTCCTAATTTTTGTGTGATTCCATAGAGGAAGGATCTTGCATATAGGAATTGCTAAATAAATACCTTTTTAAATGAATTTAACACTGCATTTCTCAGGAGCCACATATATTTATTAATAATAATACAATAAATGCATTAAGTATTTTTAAATTGTAGTCACAAAACCACAACGAGAGAATGTATTAACTTTCTCTATAGGCATGGCTGAGTATACAGGTCTCTGCATGTAAAATGTCCGAGAAAACCTGTATCTTCATGTTTCTCACGACCCTGAATACTCGTTAGTCTTTTAACTGTCACTTCATCTATCAAAGAGTGACCTATAAAATTTTAAAACTTGATTGAGAATGATTGTTCTCAATTATGAGGATGTTGAATGAGGGAGTTTAGGTTATGTATTTGAAGTGCATGGAAACTAAAACTAATATATAAAGAAAGAGGATTGTTACTTTCAATGGAAATTGTAGTTTCATTATTCATAGAAAGATAATTTCATTTGATTCGAAGGCAGGGAAAAAATACTTTGGGTCTTAGCGGAAGTCACATATGACACTGGCTTTATTACCAAAGAAGATGCTACCCTCTTGTCTCAATTTTTTATAATGAAGTTTTCTTACAGGAAACAGTTAAGGTATTTTTAAAACATCCTTCAGTGAAAGATGATTCAGACCTCGAAGGAAGAACATCCTTTATGTGGGCTGCTGGAAAAGGCAGTGATGATGTCCTTAGGACTATGCTGAGTTTAAAATCTGACATTGATATCAACATGGCAGACAAATACGGAGGTACAGGTAAGAATTGGCGGAAATGCTCAGTTTGCTTTCTTCCGGGTTCCAGAGTGTGTAGGTGCCCTAAAACTTGTACAGTAGAGCCTTAAATCATTGTTCCTAATCTAATATTGTTTAACTCTCATTTATACTTTTTAAGTTTAGCTTACCAGGGTATCACTCCAAGGGTTTAATTTCCTCCAAGTTTGATGGCTAAAATTAGCCTATGTTTCTACCAGGTGAATGGTGGCATTAGGTTTAAAACTCTGGTTGTTCCTGGGGCGCCCACCTGGCTCACTCAGTTAAGTGTCTGACTCTTGGTTTTCGGCTGAGGTGATGATGATCTCAGGGTCCTGGAATCAGCCCCACATCTGGCTCCACACTCAGCAGGAGTTCGCCTGAGGATTCTTTCTCTCCATCTCCATTTGCTCATGCTCTCTCTCTCTCTCAAGTAAATAAATAAATAAATTTTTAAAAAATAAAAATAAACAGAACTGTGGCTGCTCCTTAGGCATGATTATGGAGGGACGCCCGGATGACTCAGTGGTTGAGCATCTGCCTTCGGCTCAGGGTGTGATCCCAGAGTCCTGGGATTGAGTCTCACATCGGACTCCCCACAAGGGGCCTGCTTCTCCTTCTGCCTATGTCTCTGCTTCTCTGTCTCTGTGTCTCTCGTGAATAAATAGAATCTTAAAAAAAAAATGACTATGGAAACTCTTATCATTTATCTTTGTGTAAAAAAAAACATAAACCTGTGACTTAAAACTATGCCTATTTAGTAGTTATCAATTATACTTTCAAAACTTTAGGATTATATTTTAAGGAATACACATATCTAAGTATGCTCACCAGTCTCACATAATGTGCTCTTTTCTCAGATTTGAGGAACATTACTTTCTCCCAAATCTCTCATTTTGGGGATAACCTCCCATGACTCTTGAAGCTTCAGAGTTTCACATTAGATTTGCATCAAAAGCTCTCAGTAGATGCATCTCCCTATCTCTTTTTCTAATAAGAGAGCCTTTCAACTGTGCATTGGTTAATAAGAGAGGTATGAATTTTTTAGCATTTGTTGTCAACTTGGAAGTCTACCTTGTGCACTGTATCCTAATTGCAAGTCAGAAAAAGAAAGATCACACAATAGCACAACACAGAACAGAATAAAAACTCAGCTATGAGCTTCTCAGTGTTATGTTTTCTAATTTGTAGAAACATATAGTAGAGCCATTTGCACCTACCTGTAGTCCTGGATAAGATCTTTCTTGGTGGGGACGCCTGGGTGACTCAGTGGTTGAGCATCTGCCTTTGGCTGAGGGTGTGATCCTGGGTTCTGGGGATCAAGTCCTGCATCAGGCTCCCCACGAAGAGCCTGCTTCTCCCTCTGCCTGTGTCTCTGCCTCTCTCTGTGTGTCTCTCATGAATAAATAAATAAAATCTTTAAAAAAAAGAAAAAAAAAGGTCTTTCTTGGTCACCAAAACTACTGATGCAGCACTTGGTGGGGAGGGGGGATATACCTAATAATCTCCCTCCTTATACCTAAACCATCACCCCTTCTAAATTAATTTTTTAAGATTTTATTTAAGAAGAGAGAGAAGATAAGTGGAGAAAAGAGTAGAGGGAGAGAGAGGAGCAGACTCCCCACTGAGCAGGGAGTGCCATACGGCACTCGATCCCAGGACCCTGTGATATGACCTGAGCTGAAGGCAGATGCTCAACAAACTGAGCCACCCAGGCACCTTAAATTATATTCTAAAGAGTTTTGGAGTAATATCGATTTTAATAAAGGCTTTAACTGTCAAAGTATTTCTTTATCAAAGCTTCACAGTAGAGCTTAAGCTTCTTAAGAAAGGGTATAGCACAGACATATAGGACATTGGGTTTATAAATGGTCCGAACATTTCATTTTTTGTCAGACTTCTATTAGTAGGCAGCCTTTCACTTTATCACAAGCCTTGCTTTTAGTTTAACTTTTTCATGTATTTTAATAAAGTATGGCCAAGGATACTTCCATTCTTTTGACCAAAGGTGTCTTTTCTGATGTGCACCATGATTGGAGTTCAGACATAAATTCTTCTTAGACTCATTAATTCCCTGGCTCTTTTTCCTAAGATGATTTTATTATATGTCAGACATGCCTTCCTGACATTTCTCTGAAAGTGAGTTTCTCTCCATCATCCCTCTACAGGGTTCTTTTTCCTTCCCATGAAAAAAAGAGTTCTCATCAACAGCAACATACAGACGTTTGAATCTTGATTCAAATAAACTATAAAAAAATTATAAAACCGAAAAAAATACTATAAAACTGTAAGGGAAGTATGGACACTTTCTGGATATTTGATATTACAGAATTTTTGTTTATGTGTTTTAGGTACAATAACGGGACTAGCCTTTCTTTGCAATGCCAGGGCCGGACTCTGCAGACCCCATTTCCCCTTTGCCAGCAGGTGCCCTGTTAGAATCCTCCCTCAGGGGGCAGTAGAGGGACACTGGAAAGCTGGAAGACCCTGACCACACCTTCCTGTTGGTTTACTATTCTTGTTTGGGTTTCCTATTCCTGTTGGCATCATCTTGATAGGGTCTTCTTCAGCACAGCAGTGATCACTTGTTCCAATGGCGACAGTTAATTTCCCTGTGCAGTTTTTCCAGCACTCGCTGTACCAGCCCCAGAGCACCCACCTCAGAGGCATGAGCAGCAGCCAAGCAGAGGCCCTGCTCAGAGGTTGGAGTTTCCCCCCACAGGGCTCCTCTTCGAGGCTTTGAAGTTTTAATAATTCCATCTTCTTTTTTTTCGTCCCCTCAATCCTAGAATTGTTGGCTGTCTTCCACACGTACAACCTCTGTGAGACCTATTGTTCCTTTTTTGCTTTTTTAATTCTTCAATCCATAGCTAACAATTCTTTCTGTTGAACTCTCTCTGTGAAAGTATCTGGCAGGGTTTCTGTCTCCTAAATAGACACCTACTGATACTGTGGTCGTACCTTTTAAAAGCATCGTTGTCTTTGAGATATACTTACCAAAATATTTACAAATGAAAGGATCTGAATCTAGAATTTTATTCAAAACTGTTAGAAGTGGGGACAATGGATGGCAGTTAGATGAAACAGGACCAGCCATCTACTGATCATCCTTGAAGGTAGGTAATGGCTATATTAAGTTCACTAAGTTGTTGTTGTCTTTTGAATACACTTGAAATTTTCCATAACAAAAAGTTAAATAAAAAACTTTAGGGCTCCTATGTAATTTATGATACCTTCTCAGAGAGAGCAACAATAGTTAAATCTAAAGTTATTTTAAAGTACTGTAAATGCAAATAGTCAGAAATGGGGAATTTCATTTAACAAGATCATTAAGTCTATCTTTTGCTTAATTGGGACTTTGTGGTAGGTTATTTTTTTTTGACATTGACATTTATCTAAGCAGTATTTATTGCATACTGATACCACATCACAGAATTGTAGAATTTCAATATTAGAAGCTACCTCAAAATTAAATCTGGTCCAGCGTTTTCCAGACCATATTTTTGAAAACAACAGGTTTCTATAGAGTGTTGAAATGTTGCCAAGGGGAGCGGGTACTTCAGTGGGTAACCCCTCCACCCCTGCTTTAGTCAGAACCACTCAACTCTTATCTGTTTTATGTGTTGAGTGTTTTCTAAAACTTCATTTGAGGCCAGATGTATTCTTATGCTCTTCAAATGTGAATCAAGTCACCAAACCATCATAGATATAGCACCCTTCATCTGCCTTATACCATTCTCACGAGCGGCCTGTCAGCTCCGATATGAAAAACCCACTACTTCCATCTGAACCTAAGTCCGTTCTTCCTTATACCAAGCCCAGATTCGTCAAAGTGGATGTCCCACTCTGTACTGTCTTCCACATGGCAGCACTTCAGATATTCGAAGTCTCTCACACTCTTCTGAATCTTGTCTGGGCCAAACTAACATTCAGCCATGCAGATCAGGGTCCTCAAACCCAAGTGCATGTAAGCATCGTGAGGGTGTTTGTCTAGGGACAGATGCCCAGACTACAGAGACAGGAATGCTATGTTGGATCCTGTACATCTTATTGACTCGCCCTCTAAAATAGCTTCTAAACCTTTCTGCTTCTCTCCATCTCCGGTCCTGCCACCCTCATTAAAGCCAGTAGCATCTTTTACTGAGTCTCCTGCAAAAGTTTTAGCTTGTCTCCCTGCTTATTTTCTTTTTTTTTAAAAGATTTTATTCATTTATTCATGAGAGACCGAGAGAGAGAGAGAGAGAGACAGAAACACAGGCAGAGGGAGAAGCAGTCTCCATGCAGGGAGCCCGACACGGGACCCGATCCCAGGTCCCCAGGATCCTGAAGGCGACGCTAAACCGCCGAGCCACCAGGGCTGCCCTCCCTGCTTATTTTCTAACCCACTACAGTGCCTTCTCTTCCAAGCAGCTAGAGTGATCTGATTAAAGCACAAGTCAAATAACATCACTCACCTATTTGAAGTCCTTCAACCTTCGTCAGTGGGACCTGGGTGACCCCTTAGGATCTGGCCTTCTCTACCTTTCCAACTTACTTCATTGCACTTCCTTAAGCACAAAAAGTCATTTCCACCCTCGGGCTAGCTGTTCTCTTTGCCCAAACTACTCCTTCTTGAGATCTCTACATAGCTGTCTCTTTATGATTGCCATCACCACCGATTAAAATGAACTCCCAGTCACTATGAATATCAGGATATCTTTTGTTACTCCAATTATTACCATTCATCACCATCTAATACTTTCCTATTTATTCAGTTTTTGTTTTGCTTCTCCTAACCTTATCTATCTTGTTCTCTGCAGAACACCCACGTTTACATTCATACCCAGCCCATAGTAGGTTCTCAATAAATGCCCAGGAATCTGCACTTTTATAGGCATCCTGGGTTTGGTCCATGGATCACACTTTATGAAAGAAACATTATTCTAGGCATGACAGGGCCATGAAACTTAGAAAGAGCTGGCCCAGGCCTCTAGACAGTTATGTTGGCAAACTCAGAATTTAAAGAGTGATGTATTTTTTTAAAGATTTTTTATTTATTTGTTCATGAGAGACACAGAGAGATAGGCAGAAACATAGAGGGCTGATGGGCACCATAGGGATGTACCAGAAATCTTGGGATTCTTGGGATATCACTTCAGAGTTCGCAACAGCAAAAGCAAAGGGATTCTTTGCATTGCCAGAGTCTTTACTTTTATTTTAAAGATTTTGTTTATTTATTCATGAGACTCAGAGAGAGAGGCAGAGACACAGGCAGAGGGAGAAGCAGGCTCCCCATGGGAAGCCTGATGTGGGACTCGATCCCAAGACCCCGGGATCACGACCTGAACCAAAGACAGATGCTCAACCCATGAGTCACCCACGTGTCCCTGAAGAGTGATGTATTTAAACAGAAGTTAAAGAGTAATCCAGAGTAATGGCATAAGTCAAGCATTGGTGTGGAGTAACATAGGCTCAGGTCAGTATAACCTGAAACCCACATAGAGTCAAAATTACTCTTTCAAACCCCATACAAAGGCACCAGAGAAGAGACCACATTCCGTCTCAGATTTTTTTCTCCAATGTTGAAACAAATTGCTGTTTCTTAAATTGGGCCCCGAGGAAATGAGTGGCTTGCATTTGGAGCCATGTTGTATGGAAAATGCACTCGCTGCAGTGGGATGTGTGTACCCTCAGTACCACATGGGTACACAGACCTACGGCAGGAATAGCACGGCTAAGCAGCTGAAGGGCCGGTAGATTGACACTTCTCGTCACACCAACCCTCGGGCATATGCTTATCGAGTGGGTTGGTGGGCAGAATTGGCTGTGTCACTTAAATCATTTCTCTTTGTCATTTTTTGTTCCCTTATCCTCTTAGAGGGAGGAAAAGATAATAAAGTTGTAGCCGAGGAAAGGAAAGCATTTCAGACCATCAGGAGGAAAGGAAGAAACAGTGAGATGAGAAAGGTGGAAGGAAAGGGGAAAGGTGTGAGTAGCAACTATGACTAGAAAGGAAGACTGAGTGACACCTGGGTGGCTCAGTCGGGTAAGCATCTGCCTTCGGCTCAGGTCAGGAGCCCAGGGTCCTGGGATTGGGCCCCCATCAGGCTCCCTGCTCAGGGGGGAAGCCTGCTTCTCCCTCCCTTTGCTGCTCCCCCCACTCGTGCTCTCTCCCTAATAAATAATTAAAATCTTAAAAAAAAAATAGACTGAAATATCTAGAAGTGAACAATAGAGAATCCTTAAGATTAAATTGCATTTAGCCAAAATGATGAGGACATCAGAAGAGGAAAAGGCACACAGAATAAGAAGAAGGCGAAGCTGTTATCAAAGAGTCCTTGCGTTCTTTCGCTCCCTTTCAGCTTTACATGCTGCTGCCCTTTCTGGCCATGTCAGCACCGTGAAATTATTGTTGGAAAATAACGCTCAAGTAGATGCCACTGATGTCATGAAGCACACTCCACTTTTCCGAGCCTGTGAGATGGGACACAAAGATGTGATTCAGACACTTATTAAAGGTTGGTTATTAAGAGTGGCTCTAGCAAGTCACTCTCCCAAGGTAGGCATTCTTGCAGGCACCATTTGAACCAGCTTACATAGCAGAGGGCCGCCTGGGTGGAAGGATGGAGGGAAAAGTGGTGTTTCCACCCCCTACACACACCTGCTGTGTGTGTGTGTGTGTGTGTTTGTGTAAACCTGCTGTCCACTAGGAGCTTCACCTGTTGGCAATTGTGTGATTTTGGAAAAGCCACTTCACCTGCCCAATCCTCAGTTTCATTTTGTATAAAAGAAAAATGACCCTGACCCTGACCAACTTATGAGCTCATTGTAAAAATCTGAAGTAGGTAATATATACAGATGCAGTGTGCTAAGAGGAAAGCATTTAAGGGACTGTTGTTACATTTTTCAGACTTCTATTCTTTTTGATCAGCGCTCTCTCTATTGGACATTTTCATGATATGTTTGCTTTTTCAGGTGGAGCGAGAGTAGATTTAGTTGATCAAGATGGACACTCCCTTCTACATTGGGCAGCACTAGGAGGAAATGCTGATGTTTGCCAGATATTGATAGAAAATAAGATCAATCCAAACGTGCAAGATTACGCAGGACGAACCCCTCTGCAGTGTGCTGCGTACGGCGGCTACATCAACTGCATGGCAGTGCTCATGGAAAATAATGCAGACCCCAACATTCAAGACAAAGAGGTAGAAATTCTAAGTCTTTTTTATGTTGTTTGCTACTGGGTGTTTGGAGTATTTCTTTTTCATTAACTAAAATAAAGCAAAACAACATTTTGCCAAATAAAGGGATCACTTACAAATTTATCTATTAGCTGAAAACAAGTTTTATTTTTCTCTATTTTCCTTCTAGTTCTTGTCCATATATCCATATACACTGTAGCAAAGTCATAATACAGAATGGGACTAATTTTATAACTATGACATGTGTATGTATGTGTATACATATGCATATATGATATTTCACAAACCACATTTTGCTTTGTTCACTTAAAATTATCACCAGTATTTTCTCATTCGGTGTATAACCTTCTGCATAATCGTAGATGCTGAGTATTCCAAGGTTCTAGGAACTTTATGTTGAATGACTCATCCAATCCTCACAGCAGCTCCTAAAGGAGTTGCAATTATTATTCGTATTTATAGGGGAGAAAAGTGAAGTTCCTGGAGCTTACCCAACTACACTACAAGGTGACAGCAGTGTCTGGGTTGTTGTGGGGAGTCAGGGTCCAAACACTGCCTGTAACCCCAATTTTAGAATTAAGTAACTTCCTAACACTGGGTACTTTTTTGTTATTACAGATCATGTTTCATTAATCATTGTTGTGCATTTAACTTTTTTTATTGTTTCCTTAGAATAATTTCCCCTGAGATTATTTATTATTGATATATGAATGTGATTGGGCTCTGATATATACTGTTGACATGATTTTTAAAAAGATTCTATTTATTTATTTGTTTGTTTGTTTATTTATTTATTTGAGAGAGTATGTATGCACATGAGCAGGAGGAGGGGCGGAGGGAGAGGGAGAGAGAGAAGCAGACTCCCCGCTGAGCACAAAGCCTGATGAGATGAGGGGGAGCTACATCTCAGGACCCTGAGATCATGACCTGAACCAAAATCAAGAGTCAGTCGCTCCACCGTCTGAGCCACCCAGGCGCCCCCGTCCAACTGATTTCTAAACTATGTGGGTTAATATCCACTTCCTCAGCTATGTAGTACTGTATTGACTTCTCTCAGTTTAACCAGTATTGACTTTTGTTGCTACTATAATTACATGAAGTCTTCAAAAATTCTAGCATATTATGTTTTCCAAGCCAGAAAATATATTTTCTATTAATTCATTCAATAAATATTTATCAAGATTGTTCCTATATGTAAAAGTAACATAATGAAAAACATGTAAAATATGGTCCTTGTACATATGTTACTAGAAATGAATCTTTTGTAATCTGTAGTGCCTTTTACTTTTTTTTTTTTTTTTTTTTTACAGTTTCTTACAGAAGCTGGCTTACTAAGCTGACTTACAGAAGTAGCTTACTAAGCTACTTTCCAGTTCTATTTAGTTTTTATGTATACTGTTTTGGATTATCTGCTATAAATATCATTTCATTTGTGAATAGTATGCCTTATTGAACTAATAACTCCAATACAATGTCGAATAGAATTGATAATAGTTGACATCCTTAATTCATTCTGGCTTCTCAAGGGGAAAGCTTTAAATATTTCCCCATTGAATATGATATTTGCTATAGGTAGAGATATTTCTAGCTACTAAGAATTAAGTTTGTTTATTCACAATTAATTAGCTGTTTAATTTTTGTCAGATACTATTTCTGTATCTTTCAACATGATCACATGATTTTTCACCTCTTTGCTCTTGATAGGGTGAGTTAAAAAGAATCAGGAAGTAGTTCCTCTTATTCTCCTAAAGAATGTGTGTGGTATTGATACTACTTTTTTCTTAAATGTTCGGAAGAAAAAAAAATGTTCGGAAGAATTCCCTGGTGAAGACATCTGGTCTAGGGATATTCTCTGTGTAAAAAGTATTAAAAACTGATTCAGTATCACTTATAAATACAAGACCATTCAGATTTCTAATTATTTTTTCCGTTTTGGTAAATTACATTTTTTGAGAAACATATCCATTTTATTAACATAGCAAATGTATTTGCATGAAGTTGGTCATATAATTTCTTACCTTTTTTATGACTGTTGGACATATAGTCATTTCCTCTTATTCATTTCATATATTGGTAATGTGTATCATCTCTTTTCTTTTTTTTATTTTTTATTTTTTTTTATTTATGATAGTCACACAGAGAGAGAGAGAGAGAGAGAGGCAGAGACATAGGCAGAGGGAGAAGCAGGCTCCATGCACCGGGAGCCCGATGGAGGATTTGATCCCGGGTCTCCAGGATCACGCCCTGGGCCAAAGGCAGGCACCAAACCGTTGCGCCACCCAGGGATCCCGCTTTTCTTTTTAAAAATATTTTTCATCTTGTTCATCTTTTCAAAGGAATAACTTCCTTGTTGATTTTCTATATTTTAAATTGTTTACTATTTCATTGGTGTTTACTGTTTATTATTTCCTGCCATCTACTTTCCTCAGGTTTGATTTACCAATTTTTTTAAAGATTCTTTTGATAAAAGTTTAAATCATTGATTTTTTTCAGTATTCATTTCCAGTATATGTACTTAAGCATGCTTCTTCTTCTAAGCACTGCTTTAACTTTATCCTAGAAGTTTAGGTAAGCTCTACCATCACTATAATTCAGCGCAAACATTTTCTAGTTTCTATTTAGATTTGTTATTTGACCTATAGATTATTTAGCTGTATATTGTTTAATTTCCAGGCATTTGGGCATTTGCTCATTATCTTTTGGTTAATGGTTATATCGGTTTCCTCTTGCTGTGATAACAAATTACCACAAACTTAGTAGCTTAGAACAACACAAACTTATTATCTTACTGTTCTGGATGTTAAAAGTCCAAAACGGGTCTTAATGAGCTAAAAATCAGGGTGTTGGCAAGACTACATTCCTTTTGGAGACTCTAGGGGAGAATCTCTTTCTTTCATTTTTCCAGCTTCTAGATACTGCCTTCATTCCCTGGCTTGTGGTCCCATTCCCCCATCTTGAAAGCTAGCAGTGACTGCCTGAGTCTTTCACATTACTCTGACACTTGCCTTCCTGCCTCCTTCCTTTCCTTAAAAGGACCCTTCTGATTACATTGGGCCTGTTCAGATAATCCAGGATAATCTCCCCATCTCAGGTTGCTGATTAACACCCTTAATTCCATCTACAATCTTTATTTCCCCTTTCCAGTAACATAACAGAGTTACAGATTCCAGAGATTAGGATGTAAACATTTTAGCAAAGGCATGCATTTATTCTGTCTACCACACAGATTTGTAACTTTACTGTGGTCAGAAAACATAATAACAGTTATTTTATTTTATTTCAGAATTATTTTAATCCTTCAAACTCCTTTGAGGCTTTCTTTGTGACCCAGTATATATGAATTGCTTTTGAAATGTTTTATGTACACTCGAAAAGAATGCTAATTGTATCATTAGTTGGATGCAGTGTTTTATATGTATCACTTAGTTCAAAGTTTTTTACTGTGTTGTTCAGGTCTTCTGTATCTTTACTCTCGTTTTATTTATTTGTTCTATGACCTATTATAAAAGATGGGTTAAAAATCTCTCACTGTGATTATGAATTTGACCATATCTCCTTTTAATTTTGTCATTTTTTTGTTCTATATGTTAAAAGCTGTGTTATTAGATGCATACAGATTTAGGATTATTACATTTTCCTCTTTGACCCCTTTAAAACTGTGAAATATCTATCTTGTATTTCTAGTAATGCTTCATGCCTTCTTTATCTTTCATAATATCGATTTTTTTAAGAATACAGGCCATTTATTTTGTAGAATCTCACTCAGTTTGAGTTCTGAGTTATGATTCCTCATAATTCAGTTTAAGTTTTACATTTTTGGTTGGAATATTATACAAGTGATATTGAATCCTTCTCAGGGTATTACCTCTGGAAACACATCATGCCTCTTTACATGATATTAATTTTGATCACTTACTTAAGATACCATCCATTTTCTCCCTTTTTATAATTAGGCAATTTGGGAGAATTGTTTCTATTTTTTAGTTAGCATAAATAACTATGTGTTCAAAAATACCTATTCCAGATATATCTGATTTTTGTTCATGCTTATAGGGAAGAACAGCTTTGCACTGGTCCTGTAACAACGGATACCTCGATGCCATTAAATTACTACTAGACTTTGCTGCTTTTCCTAATCAGATGGAAAACAATGAAGAAAGGTAAGCTATTGATAAAAAGAAAGTAAGAAAGTATTATTGTCCAACTCACTTCCTTTCTGCTATATTAAAAAATCTCAAGTTGAGATACTCGTTCAAAAGTACTAAGTATACTTATAAGGAAATGCTACACTAAGAAATCCTAAACCAGAAGAAAAGAGCAAAATTTCCATCTAATGTTGATTTAGAATCATGGGATTTTTAAAATTGTTCAGAACTTTAGATTTACCTCTGGCAAGCTCACAAATTACAAATAGAGAAACATGTTCTTCTGGCTTGTGGCTGGCAAAACCTCAGGGGAGGCTAGACTGACCAGTCCTAAGAATGTGTCATATGTCCAGGACATTTCTCTTGATGAACAGGGTATACTAGTTAGTGGACAGAGGTGCCACCATGTGGCATGAAAAAATAAGGAAAATGTGAGATGATTGAATAATATAAGAGCAAGGCTGGAGTTACGCCCCAGGGCCCAGGCCAAATAAAGAGGGCAGACACGGTGTGAATTCTAAGCAGGAGAGATTCTTGGCAGTCTTGGATCTAAGAAGATTCTGATCATCTGTAGGTGACAACCAAGTTTGTGATAAGACTTCCACACCTAAGCTCCACCCATCTGGGTCCATGCTTTGCTTGTCGTTCATGGATGCTATAACTGCAGTGGCTCCTGCTATGACCCCATGCCACCCCTCATAGCCATCACCAGTTCTTTCAGGAGACAGTTGACATTGTGGAGAAGGAAGGACTGTGTCTAGGCCACCTGTCTCAGGAAACCCACTCCTTCTTTCTGGGGAACCCTTCATCTCCCATTTCTTTCAGAACCACTCCCCATTAATGATGGCCTCCACCTGTTATTTTCCATTTTACTTATTTTCTGAGGTTTGTTTCTTCTTCCTATAAAGCTCATCTTCTCTTGGAGTGTCTGCATTGCCCCATTTCTTCTTACTCATGGTTCGTGCCTTTGCAGTCTGACTTCCATCCTCACATTGACACTGAAACCATGTTGAATGGTCACTGACAGACTCACTGATAAATCCTACATTGGTCCCTCTGTCTACTCGCACTGGCCTGTCTGCATTCACCTGGTTCTGTTGACCCCTCTTCTTTACCTTACTGAGACTGTATCTTATCTAAGCTTCTGCAACAGTGTATTTTCCTGATTCTCTGCCAGTTGTGTCTGCTCCTCCTTTTTTTTTTTTTTTTTTTTTTTGCTTCCTTTTCTATTTTTTATTTTTTAAATATAGACACTCTTCAGGGACTGGGTCTTTTCTCTCCGCGCACTTCTTTGGCTCTCTGACCTACCATCAAGGCTTCAGTAGTCACCTGGGTGCTGGTGAGTTCTAAATCTGTCCCTCAGACCCAATATCTCTTGGGTTACTGCTGTCATCTCCTCTTCAGTACCAACACCATCCTCCTAATCTTGCCCTCTCCGCCTCATTCTGGGGGCTGTCGCAATGCCTTCTCGCTGTTTTCTCCCCTTTGAACTATCATTCAGTTCATCTGCTTCCAAAGTAGCCTCCCTAAACCGTATTTCTAATGCAATTGTTAATTATGTCCTGCCTCCATTCAAATGCAATCTCATCTAAGAAGATAGTTTTGATCCCAGAGGCATGTGTTCCAAATGATGTTCTCCCCTACAGTGTGAATTTGTAGAGCACTTAGCACATTTCACTTTATATTATGATTTTATGTGATCTGTCTGCCATGTTAGTGGAGAACTCCTGAAGATCATTGTCATCCCTGTGTTGCTCACAGTGCTTCTCAGGAGGTAAATGCTCAGTAAATAACTGTTGCATCATTAGGTTCGTGCTTCCAGGTTCCCAGTAGCATCCCCTGCTACGTACCTGCATTAGAAACTTCTGGAATTCTTTGAGTGTGTAATTAGATAAATCTGACTAGTATGTCTTACTTTGAGAGGGGTTATGTAAAGAACTCACTCTATTATATTCAAATGACAACTTTAAAATCAAAGACTCAAAGATATAGGGGTTTGGACATTTAAGGAAGGTGGAAAGCCAAGCAGAATCCTCAAGGCTGAGGTTTTGACATTAAAGCAGATATGTGAGAGAACAGAAGGTTTCTCTCTTTGAAACCCTAAAAAAAGGGAGGGGGAGATTAAGAATCCTAAGAATTAGTGGTGATTTATTTCTATTATGAAGGATTTAATCTGTAACAGTATTTACTGTCTAATTGCTATTTTCTTAGGAAACAATAAAAACATTGACATTGGGCAGCCCAGGTGGCTCCGCGGTTTGGTGCCTGCCTTCGGCCTGGGGCGTAATCCTGGAGACCCAGGATGGAGTCCCACATTGGGCTCCCTGCATGGAGCCTGCTTCTCCCTCTGCCTGTGCCTCTGCCTCTCTCTCTCTCTCTCTCTCTCTCTCTCTCTCTCTCTCTCTCTCTGTGTCTCTCATGAATAATTAAATAAAATCTTAAAAAAATTTTTTTAAATAACATTGACTTTTGTAATTCAATTCCCATTTTTATGGTAAGACTTGAATTTCAGGCCTAAGGAAGAGTGGGAATTAAGGTACTTACTGCCTCCTAGAGTAAACATATGTTAATTACAGACCAAGAGACCCCAGGAAAAATCACCCTAACTGTACTTGCCAGTCTATAGATGAAGATGGGCAGTGGCAATATCCCAGTCTCCTCTGATGTTTCATTGGCAATGCACCTTGATGTACAAATGTCAGAACCTGGCACTGCCTTTTATGTTTATTGACATTCCATTTTAGGCATTCCACTCATCCCTTCAGACCATTCCTGCATGGCAAGTCCAATTGTATCTTGCATCTTGTCTTTATCTACATTGTTTCTTGACTGGTTACCATCAATGTAGTGCTAATTTTTACTTCTCATGCATTGACACCAGCCACTTGATGTGTACCATATAGACATAATTTTTGCCAGCTACTGCTGGCTTCTAGTCAATAACTATCTGACAGCCACGACTCCAACATCGATGGGAATATTCACAGCACTTGAATGTCTCTAAATTGAATTTGGGGTGCAGAAAGTTTCAGGAGTAATAATTAAAATATGGTCAATGCTGAAACACTAGGGCATAGACTTTAGTCTTAAAATCTTTCTATATATTTGGACTGTGTTTCCCTGAATCAAAAATTGATGAAGAATCTTAATTTGAATAAGCCAATTATAAGAGAGACATTTTTGAGAAAATTGGGGAAGTTTGTATTTGGAGTGGGTACTAGATTTTGCTAAGGAATTCCTGTTAATTTTGCTAATACCCTAATGACATTGTGCTTATGTCCATATTATTTACTGAAGAATACTCAAATGCAAAGAGATTAAATGATAGGAGTTCTAGGATGTGCTTTAAAACAGTTCAGGAAAAATAATAAGGAAGGGGTTAGAGGAAGCAAATGTAGCAGAAATGTTGCCACTTGTTAAATTTGGGTAGTGAGCATATAAGTGTTTATTATGCCAGTCTCTCTACTTTTGCTTATGCTTACAAAGTTTCTTATAATAAAAATACAAGTTTTCCATGATCAAGATATTTAAAATACTTGAAATGCAATTTTCTGTCCACAAGCAGCCTGAGAGTTCTGGTAAAATTAGAGGTTAGGCCTTCCTTTCATAAACCAGACTTCGATAATCCTGCTTGTATAATCTGTGAAAGATACTCTGTATGAGTAATTATAGAAAAGATGATCAAGCTTGCTAAATACATATGTTATTTGTACATTGATCTGAGAAGCGGTTTCATTCTTTTTTTAAAAGATTGATTGATTTGAGAGAGCACAAGCATGAAAATAAGAGAAAAAGAGAGTACGCACAGGGGAAGTGGGAGAAGCAGACTCCCCACTGAGTAGGAAGCCCAATGTGAGGCTTGATCCCAGGACCCTGAGATCACTACCTGAGTCAAAGGCAGACGCCTAACTGACTGAGCCACCCAGGCACCCCACAGCTTTGTTCTGTAGGAGATTTATTTTCAAGAACTGATAGATGTGCTATGGAAGGAATAGGGAGTCATCCAGTCTTAGTTCAGGTGTGGGTTCTGCAGGGAACTAGTTAGGGAACTTCAGCAAGTTGCTTAATCTTTCTGGATCTGTTTACATATTTATAAAAGGAAGGTGATAGGATAAAATTCCATTTAGCTCTAATATCATGGAGTTCTGTGACTCTGATCATTTTTTACATTGGGGAGAGTACAGTCATGAAGGCATTTTAGAATATATAGTGATTACATTTATCTTGATCACTCTACACTATATTGTACACCTACCTGAAACTAATTTAGCACTGTATATTAACTATACCGGAATTAAAAAAAAATTTTTTTTAACATTTTTTTTTAATTTTTTTTATTTATTTATGATAGTCACAGAGAGAGAAAGAGAGAGGCAGAGACACAGGCAGAGGGAGAAGCAGGCTCCATGCACGGGGAGCCCGATGTGGGATTCGATCCAGGGTCTCCAGGATCGCGCTCTGGGCCAAAGGCAGGCGCCAAACCGCTGCGCCACCCAGGGATCCCGGAATTAAAAATTTTTTAAAGATTTTATTTATTTATTCTTGAGAGACAGAGAGAGAGAGGAAGGCAGAGACACAGGCAGAGGGAGGAGCAGGCTCCATGCAGGGAGCCTGATGTGGGGCTCGATCCCGGAACTCCAGGATCACATCCTGGGCTGAAGGCAGGCGCTAAACCACTGAGCCACCCTGGAATTAAAATTTTTAAAAATAAGAAAAGTTTTTAAAAATAAAATATATAGTGAAAAATTTTAAAGTTCTTCTGAACTTACAAGATGCCATCTACTTATAAATAACATTTTAAAGTTTATGTAGGCACCTCTACTTTATGGCCTTCTGGTTCCTGGACAGTAGAGACAAATCAAGAAAATGAAATGAAAGTTTCTTAATTTTAGCATTTGGGATTTCTTTCTGAATTCAGTTTCCTTCCAGAAGTGACCAAACCACCTTTGCTTATATGAAAAATTTTCTCCTTTTATGTCTGACTGTAACTGTCAGGTGAGTTTTGAAGAGAGAAAATTTCTATAGTCACTGGATGATTTTTTTGTGTCTAATCATGCATCCATATAATCATCAGTGTTTCCACTTCATAAATCAGCTGATTATTTCTTCCTAACACCTCTGATTGCATTGGATTAGTAACAGCCACCCAGAGAGGAATCAGATCAGTGGCAGTCATTAGGTGGTCAAAACTACTAGTTTGGGTCCTGTGGAAATGATATTGATGATGCGCAACTGTGGTATCACAAACCCTGCTGCAAGTGCATGTCCTATAATAAGAATGACAATAGCTGACATTTATTAATTGCTTCTTTTATGCCAGGCACAGTGATATCTTCTTTGTATTTATTATTTCCTTTTTCTCCTCAAGCCAAGTCTGTAATGAGGAAAGCTAGGTTGGTTAAGAAGTGACAGCATTACCATTGTTGGAAGGTACAATTGGCTTGTTGGGTTTTTTTTTTTTTTACTTCAATTTTTATATTTTTTGCACTCTTTGAATTCTTTAAATATGTGTCATTATTACAAAGTAATCTTTTTAAAAAATAACACCTGCTGAGATAATAACAGCGGTTAATTCTCAGGGTGGGAATACAGATGACCGCTGTGTTATTCTATGTATTTATCTGATTAGTTTATATTTCTAAAAATAGAAAAGATATATTGTAAGAAAAGAATTTACCTAAAATTATACATCCAGAAGGTAGCCAGTTGAGATTCAAATATATAACCATCTGCCAATACAACTCATCTTTTCTAAATAATATATTTGTCAAAAAGGTATGCACAGTGTAAACAATTTAAAAGGCATGAAAATGAAATGTCCCTCCCACCCCTGCCTTTGAGACAACCAGCGTCCTCCCCAAGGATGTCACTATCACGAGTTTCTTGGTAAACTTCTAGAGATATATTTTACGTGAGATAAGCATATGAGGATATGTTCTTTTTTATAAAAATGGAGCATCCCTTAATATTGCTCTGTTTTTAAAAGATTTATTTTATTTATTTTAAAGAGAAAGAAAGAGTCTCAAGCAGACTGTGCCGAGCACAGAGCCCAATGTGGAGCTACGTCTCATGAACCTAAGATCATGACCTGGGCTAAAACCAAGAGTTGGACACCTAACTGACTATGCCACTGAGAGGCCCCAATACTGTTCTGTTTCTTAATTTTTTTTTCTTTCCCTTCATCCTGGACTTTATTCCTTATTTATCCATATGCCAGAGCACAGCATCCTGGACTTTATTCCTTATTTATCCATATGCCAGAGCACAGCTGTGGCTACGTTATACGGATGACTGCATCACACGAATGGCCCATACTTATTGCAAGAGGTGTTCCATTGGTGGATACTGAGGTTGTCTCCACTCTTGTACTATTTCAAACTGTGCTTCTGTGAATACCCTTGTAAAGAAAGCATCTCACACACAAGAGCAAGTCTGTGGGATATATGCCTGCAAGGGACATGTCAAAGGGCAGATGCATGAGTAATTTTGATAGATAATGCCAGATTGTTCTTTCTAAAGATTAAAGTAGCACATAGAGAGCTAGCCTCTGCATCCTTGCCAGCACAGTGTGTTATTAAACTTTCTGATCCTCATTAATCTGATCATTGAAGTACTCTCCCTGTTAGTCTTAATCTGTATTTCTCTCAAATGAGTAAGATTGAACATATTTCTATATATTTAGAAGCCATTAGTATTTTCTATTCTGGGGACTTTTATCTTTGTTTTTGGTATTTTTTGCCCTACAGAATTTTGTTATTTTTATGTAGATGGATTTATCAATCTTCTCTAATGGTTTTGAGTTTTGGATCATTTTTATTAGAAGAGACCTTCCCCGGATCCCTGGGTGGCTCAGCGGTTTAGTGCCTGTCTTTGGCCCAGGGAGTGATCCTGGAGTCCCGGGATCGAGTCCCACATCAGGCTCCTGGCATGGAGCCTACTTCTCCCTCTGCCTGTGTCTCCTGTGTCTCTGCCTCTCTCTCTCTCTCTCTCTCTCTCTCTCTCTCTCTCTCTCTCTCTCTCCTCTCTTTCTCTTTCTCTCTCTATCATGAATACATAAATAAAATCTTAAAAAAAAAAAGAAGAGACCTTCCCATTCCAATTTTTAAAAATCTTCCATAGTTTCTTCTAGTACTTCCATGGTTTCTTTTTCTCTTTTTAGGTCTTTGTTTCATCCAGAACTCCTTTTGGAGTAAAATGTGATATAAGAATCTCTTTTTTCTAGATGGCTATGCCATTGTCCCAACACTACTTAATAAGCCATGCTTTCTGACTTAAAGGGCCATCCTTATCATATACTAAATCTCTCGGTTTGGAGATGTATTTTTTCTTCATAAGCATTAACTATCAGTAGCTATGGGCTTAAACTTATGAATCTCACAGGATACTATCCACAGTACTTTTTAGATAGGCATGGGGTATTATTTGGCACATAGGGGAGAAGAAAAGTGATCACGTGTTCCTGCAGCCCCCAGTTTATGAGCCAGCAAGTGAAACTCAGGAATCATCATGATCAGTGACACAAAGCACCTAACTCCAGCTCTACCCTTGTTTTGTGCCCTCAGAGGAAAAAGGAACAGCCCTGGAGTACTGAAGATAGCCTTGCCTGAGAAACAGTCCACATCTTAGAATGAGATTTCCTTCTGCTGCACACAATACTGCCAGTTTAACTGTACCTCAAATTACATTCCAACGCTTAAAAAAAAATACCTTCCTGCTTCAGGTACACTCCCCTTGACTATGCTTTGCTCGGTGAGCGCCACGAAGTGATCCAGTTCATGTTGGAGCACGGTGCCCTGTCCATCGCAGCCATACAGGACATCGCTGCCTTCAAAATCCAGGCCGTCTACAAAGGGTACAAGGTCAGAAAGGCTTTTCGAGACCGGAAAAATCTCCTCATGAAGCATGAACAGTTGAGAAAAGATGCTGCTGCCAAGTAAGTCCAGGCTATGGAGACTGTGTTCCTTCACAGCCCGGGAATCAGGGTGGAAGGGGGCAGGTGGCAGGAGCAGGCAGGAGGGGGATTCAGGGGAGGATCTGAGATCATGTTGACCCCTGTACCCATGTCACCTTCGCCCTTCTGCCCACTGGGTGTGCAGAGCACTGTGGCTGCAGTGAAGGACCAAGGCCCAATCCCTGCTCGGTGGCTGTCCCTCCAGGCTAGCCCCTGATGTTCCAACGCAGGGACAGACCACCACCACAGCCATCATGGAAGGAGTTGGGGGTGGGAAGGTGCCTACAGGAAGCTGCAAGGACATAACTGCTCCTCCTCCTTCCTTTCCTGCCTTTCCACAGGAAACTGATACCAATATCCCGCCTACTTCACTAGAAGTGTCTAGTTTTGATTTGATTAAAGCAACCAACTTGTGTAAAAATAACTTGCCCTCCCCACCTATTCCTTCACAAATCTGTACTACATCATGTCATTTACTCAAGAAATATTGACTAAATTCTTACTGTACATATAAAACTCTTGTCTCAAGCCTTTGAAGAAAAGTAACTAAAAGCAAAGTGCTTGCTTCAAGGACATCACACTATTTTGGATAATGATACAGAATGTGTAAAATAGTCACTTGTGCCTATTATATACACACTGTGATTATTTTACCATAAATGATTGATTTTTGGATAATGCCTTGGTTTTCCTCCTTGGAGACCTTTGTTGGACTCTTTCTCTTTTTTTCTTTCTTCCTTCCTTCCTTCTTTCCTTCTTTCCTTCCTTTTATTTGCATTTATTCTATGCAGAATTTACTCCTAGGATATAAGTTTTTGTTTCTTCAGTTTCTTCTGGGGTATCTTTTTATTCGGTGCAACCTCCTTTTCTGGTTTAGGAACAGTCTGCTCTTTTTCAGTAAGGATCATCCCAGTGCAGCAGGGAGAGTTCATCCTACCATGAACCCTATAAATTCTATGCCACATCCTGGAGGCTTTGTCCACCTGGATGTGCTTCATGACCAGACGATCTACCTCTAAACCCTTAAGTTCATTCAGCATTACTGTCTTCATTTTTAAGCATGTGCAGTAAAAATTCAGCACTCTTCTTGGGCCATCCACCACTGTTTGGCCTGGGCACACCTACCAACTCCACCATTGTAGCAATGGAATAGCTCACACTGCTTCTGCAGAGTGACATCCTTCTGGTACTTGGTGGCTTTTTGGATATGCACACCTGTGGTGGCCTGGGCAGTGTCACGTGTATTCTTACGGTGAACATGAAAATTCAAACCTCTTGATTTGCATGAGTTTGTAGGGTTTTCTAGGTCCAGCGAGTAGTGAACCATTTTCAGAAATCACCTCAGGCCACTAGGGGAAGAAGAAGAGTCGTGGTGGCTCCTGAAGAAAATTCATGAGAACTCCCGTTGGGTATTTTAAGTAGCCGAAGAATGTTGCGTTGGTAGGTAGAGATGCCGAAGCCCATTCTTTCTGATGGGAAAGACTACAGAAAGATTCTTGATGGGAGTAACATCCTTGTACCTTGAATGTTTCCAAATCTTGAATCCTTCCATATCTTCCCCACAAGGGGGAAGCATAAGTGTAATAAAGAATAATTTAAAATAATAATAGAAGGCAAGACGAACCATTTTAGAAAGTAAATACCACTATGACCTGAGACGCTACCCATAATGGCAGCTTGGGTAGTTAAGACTGACAGGAAATGGCAGTTTCTGTGAGTGAAGCTACCACAGTTGGTGGCGTCCTAGGAAATCTGATCCTGCACTCTTCTCTTCGTAAGGCCCTCTTCTCTTCACTTTTGCAAAAGAATCCAGTTTAACATAAGGCCTCTGTACATGCCTCTTCTTCAGCCTTATAAAAGTTCCCTGCAGGAGAGTGACAACTCTAAGTGGGTAATACATGTGGCAAATTATCCTGAGTCGCAAGTTAAATACTCTCTGCAGGGGCTGGAATGTTGTTTCTGCTTCTATCTGGTGTTTTCATAAACTCCAGTTTTAATGTGTGAGCATCTGTTTTCAGAATTTGAAGTCACACCTACCTGAATATGAGGTGGAATTCTACAAGGCAATGTGACTGATTTTGTATGTCCCCCCAGAAAGGAGCATATTAGTCCAAATCCGTTCTGCTCTGTTACTGTAGAGAGGGGCCCTGGAGCCCCGACACTCCTTTTCCAGCAGGACAGAGGGTCTGTGGTGGAACACAGCATTTCTCTCTCTGGGTCCTGGTGTTTTCACCTATGACACATGGCAGGTTAGACCAGCTGACTCGTAGGCACCCTCTGGGTCTGTGGAAGCCCCCGAATCTTCACAGTTAATGATCTCAGTCTCTTTCTTCTCTCCTTTGCCTCCTTTGCGCAGAAGCCATATGCCTGGGTAGAGAGTTTGTGGACAGGCTCTGCTGAGTCAGCGTGGAGCTGGGAACCAAGAATCCATTCGTTAGATGAGCTCCTATATGGAGGAAGGGCTTTCACATCAGGACATGTGAAAAAAATCATTACTGATTTTTTTTTCCTAACTAGGTTTTTTGTGACTCCCAGCCTTGAGGGCTTGAAAGGGCACAGGGATTCAGGAACCATCTAGTCCAATCCCCCCCAGTTAGTTGTTATCCTGGTTAGTGTCACCATCACCAAGGTGCATCCTCCTTGTTCTTATGGCTTAGTTTCTGAAGCTCATTTTTAAAAACCCTTTTACGTGAGAGCTGTGCTTACCGTGACAATATCTAAAATCGCCTTAACTGGAAATTTATAATCTCCTTTCCTTTTTCTCAGCCCCAGTCTCTCCTTTATCAGGTGTCATTATTGGAAGGAAACAAATTTCGTGCAGTCCAGTCATCACCTCCTACAGCCCTTGGTGCCATAGAACTCCAAGGGAAATATTTAAATGGAAAAGAAACTCATTGCATTTGTTTAATTTTATTTCTCAAAAGTGATTTCTTAAGATCTGAGTCAGTGTTTAATTTTGGCCTTGGTTTTCGCTTTTAAGGAACAAAAATCAGAATGGTAAAACTTCGGTCCTTGCTGCCACCGGCGCCTCCCTGGCTCAGGCGTCCCAGGCACATCACGCCACCTCGGGGTCCCAGCGTAGCATCTTAGGATGATGGCACACATCACCTTCCTTAAAGCAACGATGTGAAAGGAACTTATTAAACTTAAAATGACTTCTAATTTACTGATGGAGAAATTGGGAGAGAGTGAGGTTTTAGTCATATTTTCCGAGGCATGTTTTTTAGAAAATACTATTTAAGAAATAGCTATAATCCACTTAAAAGCACTTTATAACTCATACTCCCCACCTATGTTGTTGCCGAAATGAACATCGCTGTAATTGACCTGCCACAGCACACGGCTGAATGCACGCGAGACAAGGCTGTATTTATGTTGCTCACTCGTCTCCCCAGAAGCTTCCTTTTCACCGAGTTTCTGTTTCACCCTCTAATCTCAGCTCTCTTCTGCCTTTTCCTTCTCACATCTTCGTAATCACACCACCTCCTCACTGAGGTCAGCTCTGCAGACTCGCCCTGACGCTGCACCGCGTGCTCTACTCTTTTCCACTGGAAAGGTATCTACTCTTGAAACTTGAGTGACTTCATCTCTGTAGATAGTCCATTACTCTGTCTCACATCTCACATCCTGACCTCCTGGAACTCTGATTCCACATCATCAGTTGCCTCCTGGGCATTTCCATTTCGCTGTCCTTTTGTGACTTGCTAGCACTTTCCATTTGTGTGTTGTTGTCACTGTCACTTCAGCTTCACCGTGAAACCTGCAACTCGCCACCACAGTCAGTCTCTCTTCTCACCTCCTTATTTCCCTGGCTGGTGCTGCCCCCATTGATGCAGTTAATTCCTCTTAAAATGTGCTCTTGCCTTCATTCCTCTGTCCCACCACTCTGTGAAGGCCATCACTCTTGAATACCATCCACGGTGCTACATAAGACCCTTTACCATTCTGCCTCCACTTCTGTCTCTAAGGCCCATTTCTCTCCATGACCCCCTACCTGCCCCACCCTCAGGTGTGTGGGCTCAGCCATCCTGAACTTTCCTCACTTCTTCATGTTTCACTTTCTTTTTTTTTTTTTTTTTGGTATTTTTTTTATTGGAGTCGATTTGCCAACATATAGTATAACACCCAGTGCTCAGCCCATCAAGAACCCCCCTCAGTGCCCGTCACCCAGTCACCTCATCCCCCCTCCCACCTCCCCTTCCACTACCCCTTATTTGTTTCCCAGAGTTAGGAGTCTCTCATGTTTTGTCACCCTCTCTGAAATTTCCCACTCATTTTCTCTCCTTTCCCCTATAATCCCTTTCACTATTTTTTATATTGCCCATAGAGTAAAACCATATAATGTTTGTCCTTCTCCGATTGACTTACTTCACTCAGCATAATACCCTCCAGTTCCATCCACGTTGAAGCAAATCGTGGGTATTTGTCATTTCTAATGGCTGAGTAATATTCCATTGTACACATAGACCGCATCTTCTTTATCCATTCATCTTTCGATGGACACTGAGGCTCCTTCCACAGTTTGGCTATTGTGGACATCGCTGCTATAAACATTGGGGTGCAGGTGTCCCGGCGTTTCACTGCATCTGTATCTTTGGGGTAAATCCCCAGCAGTGCAGTTGCTGGGTAGGGCAGACCTATTTTTAACTCTTTGAGGAACCTCCACACAGTTTTCCAGAGTGGCTGCACCAGTTCACATTCCCACCAACAGCGGAGGAGGGTTCCCCTTTCTCCGCATCCTCTCCAACATTTGTTGTTTCCTGTCTTGTTAATTTTCACTTTCCATAACTTTCCATGCGCTCTGGGAGACCTGAGCTGCATCCTGGCTGCTGTATGAGATTGCGTGTCTCCCAGAGGCACATGATCAAGTCCAGTTTGGGTCACTCAGTTCAAACTCTTGTGATGCTACAGTCCCTTCTAAGGAGGTGGTCCTGTGTCCTCAAAAAGTCAAGTGACCAGGAATTCAGGCAGCACATTCCATA